CTTCAATAATACACATTCTCAAGAGGGGAAAAGGCAGTAAGGCTGAGACTGCCTATCGTAATTTAAGGATTAAAATAATATATAAGACTGTTGAGATTTAAAAAAATAAATGAAGCAAACAAAACCTCCATCATTAGAAAGCCCGGAAATTCAAGAGTTAAGATGAAACTTAAAGAAACCCAAACTTTTGGAAGTGTAGGAATGCACAAAGGTCACCCAAATAACCTTATATCTGTGCCTATAAATAGAGCTGGCTGACCCTGCCTCTTGAGCTGCAATACAGAGATCAGCATGCAGAGGTCTTCTGTGTGCATAGACCCAGGGGCACAATTTGGCCCAAAGTTTTAGTTACAAATTTGGTATCTGTTGAGGTCAGTGCTATTCCTCATACTAACAACCTTTTATGGCCATTTGCATTGATAGCTAGAGCTTACTACTCCAAGACTGTTACCCTTCCTGGGAAAATGTTTGACTAAATTCTTGCTTTGTCTTTGTGGTTTTAAAAAAAATGAAGATCATGTGAAATGTTAACTTTCAAATGGATCCCAACAGGCACTGAAATTCAGCTCAGCTCATGGAGGTGAGTGTGGTTGGGAGGAGTGAATTAATACTTTGGCTACCGCTATTGTTTAAGATGACCTGATATCAGAGAGACAAGGTGGATGACATAATATTTTTTATTGGACCAACTTCTGTTGGAAAGAGAGACAAGCTTTCTGGTCCAATAAAAGATATTACCCACCCTCCTTCTCTCTACTATCTGGAACCAACGTAGCTACAACACCACCACTACGTACAAAGGAAATGTTAAAGAATTTGCTTTGAGCCTCACCCCTCTTTTTTTTTCTTCATTTTATAATGTATCCAGAAGGTTGAAAGTTTTTATTTTTTGAAGCACCAGAATGATCAAGTCTTGTTTTCCCTAGTTTTGCTGAAGGACTTTTGGGAGCCTGCTCATCCCCCATGTGAAGGGATGGCCAATCTTTAACAAAAATACCCTTTCTCCTAAGTGTTTATTAGACATTAGGCAAAATAGATGTTCATAATAATATTTCATCAGTAGATCTCAAAGTGCTTTACAAAGGAGGTCCCCATTTTATAGGTGGGGAAACTGAGGCGCAGAGCAGGGCAGTGACTTGCCCAAAGTCACCCAGCAGGCCAGTAGCAGAACTGGTAACAAAGCCCAGCTAGCCTGAGTCCCAGTCCATAATCAAATAAATAAATAAAAAAACTACAACACTCCCCCCCACGCCAAATTTTATAGTCTGAAAAAGTCTCCACTTTGCAATTACTCTGCTGACAGTTTCTTATGAATTTATAATCCCACTAACTTCTCTAGTTACCCATGGAGCTCCAGGTAGATGTGATGTGAACTAAGATTTCTAGTTACCCACAGAGCTCTAGATAGATGTGATCAGAATTTCTAATGTAAAAAATAAGCAAGGGAAAAAAGGCTTTAAAAAGACTAAAACCAACCAACCAAATCTATTTCAAGCCACCTTTATATATCCCAAAAGGAGCAAAAAATGTACACCCTCCAAATTTCTCCCCACCCCACTTCCCTGCATAGGTTGTCTTATAGCTAGACAGTTTTCTGAACTGAAGTGAACAGAACATAGTGCATCAGTGTACATAGGAAAAATTATCTTCATCGTGCAAAAAGTAACATGAATATCTTCCACTGGGCAGTTGTATGTACACAAGAAAGAGACCTAGACACACTTAAAAAATAAAACTGAGAATTTAAGAAAAACTGTGGAATAAAATAATAAATTGCAGAATCCATGACTTTTCATGCACTTGATTTTCTGGTGTTCCTGCCCATTCCTACTCAAATGGCTTAGAAAAAACAAATATAGATATAAGCTTTCAAACAAACACTGAGATTTAGTTAAACAAAACAGAACCAGGTTCAGGGTTATACACCAGTAATCTGAAAGTAAATAATATTTTGTTTATTAAATCCCAGTAGCTGGTGGCATAGAGCAGAAAAATCTTAATTTGATGGTGAACAGAACTTTTGTTAACCTTTGTTGTAGTCTAGTTTGTTGTTTCTTAGCACTCATTTATGTAATGTGAAAGCATTCAGATCTTCAGACTTGACAATCATAGAATCATAGAATATCAGGGTTGGATGGGACCTCAGGAGGTCATCTAGTTCCAACCCCCTTCTCAAAGCAGGACCAATTCCCAACTAAATCATCCCAGCCAGGGCTTTGTCAAGCCTGACCTTAAAAACCTCTAAGGAAGGAGATTCCACCACCTCCCTAGGTAACCCATTCCAGTGCTTCACCACCCTCCTAGTGAACAAGTTTTTCCTAATATCCAACCTAAACCTCCCCCCACTGCAACTTGAGACCATTACTCCTTGTTCTGTCATCTGCTACCACTGAGAACAGTCTAGATCCATCCTCTTTGGAACCCCCTTTCAGGTAGGTGAAAGCAGCTATCAGATTCCCCCTCATTCTTCTCTTTTGCAGACTAAACAATCCCAGTTCCCTCAGCCTCTCCTCATAAGTCATGTGCTCCAGCCCCCTAATCATTTTTGTTGTCCTCCTCTGGACTCTTTCCAATTTTTCCACATCCTTCTTGTAGTGTGGGGCCCAAAACTGGATACAGTACTCCAGATGAGGCCTCACCAATGTCGAATAGAGGGGAATGATCAAGTCCCTCGATCTGCTGGCAATGCCCCTACTTATACAGCCCAAAATGCCATTAGCCTTCTTGGCAACAAGGGCACACTGTTGACTCATATCCAGCTTCTTGTCCACTGCAACCCCTAGGTCCTTTTCTGCAGAACTGCTTCCTAGCCATTCGGTCCTTAGTCTGTAACAGTGAATGGGATTCGTCCGTCTTAAGTGCAGGACTCTGCACTTGTCCTTGTTGAACCTCATCAGGTTTCTTTTGGCCCAATCATCTTATTTGTCTAGGTCCCTCTGTATTCTTTCCCTACCCTCCAGCATATCTACCACTCCTCACAGTTTAGTGTCATCTGCAAACTTGCTGAGAGTGCAGTCCACGCCATCCTCCAGATCATTAATGAAGATATTGAACAAAACCGGCCCCAGGACCGACCCTTGGGGCACTCCGCTTGAAACCGGCTGCCAACTAGACATGGAGCCGTTGATCACTATCTGTTGAGACCAACGATTTAGCCAGCTTTCTATCCACCTTATAGTCCATTCATCCAGCCCATACTTCTTTAACTTGCTGGCAAGAATACTGTGGGAGACTGTATCAAAAGCTTTGCTAAAGTCAAGGAATAACGCATCCACTGCTTTCCCCTCATCCACAGACCCAGTTATCTCCTCATAGAAGGCAATTAGGTTAGTCAGGCATGACTTGCCCTTGGTGAATCCATGCTGACTGTTCCTGATCACTTTGCTCTCCTCTAAGTGCTTCAGAATTGATTCCTTAGGACCTGCTCCATGATTTTTCCAGGGACTGAGGTGAGGCTGACTGGCCTGTACTTCCCCAGATCCTCCTCCTTCCCTTTTTTAAAGATGGGCACTACATTAGCTTTTTTCCAGTTATCCAGGACCACCCCCGATCGCCATGAGTTTTCAAAGATAATGGCCAATGGCTCTGCAATCACATTCACCAACTCCTTTAGCACGCTCGGACGCAGCGCATCCGGCCCATGGACTTGTGCTCGTCCAGTTTTTCTAAATAGTCCCGAACCACTTCTTTCTCCACAGGGGGCTGGTCAGCTCCTCCCCATACTGTGCTGCCCAGTGCAGCAGTCTGGGAGCTGACCTTGTCTGTGAAGACAGAGGCAAAAAAAGCATTGAGCACATTAGCTTTTTCCACATCCTCTGTCACTAGGTTGCCTCCTTCATTCAGTAAGGGGCCCACACTTTCCTTGACTTTCTTCTTGTTGCTAACATACCTGAAGAAACCCTTCTTGTTACTCTTAACTCCAAGTGTGATTTGGCCTTCCTGATTTCACTCCTGGATGCCTGAGCAATATTTTTATACTCCTCCCTGGTCATTTGTCCAATCTTCCACTTCTTGTAAGCTTATATAATATGCCATATTCTATGAAAAATAGGTAAACAATTTAACATGTATTTCTAAAAAAAAATTGGATGAGTCTTGGCAGAAATTTTATTTCATAGACGATTGGGCCAAAAAAGAGGAACCACTGTGAAAATCTAGTGCAGCGGTTCTCAAACGTCATTGCACCGCAACCCCCCTTCTGACAACCAAAATTATTCCATGACCCCAGGCTCGGGGACGGAAGCCTGAGACTTGCTGCCCCGGGTTGGGGAAGGAGACAAAAGCTGAAGCCCAAGGGTTTCAGCCCCAGTCATGGGGCCTGTAACCTGAGCCCTGCTGCCCAGGGCTGAAGCCCTCGGGCTTTGGCTTCAGCCCTGGGCGGTCGGGCATGGGCTTTGGCTTCGGCCCCAGGGCCCAGTGAGTCTAACGCCAGTCCTGGCGACCCCATTAAAATGGGGCTGCGACCCACTTTGGGACCCACAGTTTGAGAACCGCTGATCTAGTGTGATTTTCTGCATATGTCATGCCATAGAATTTCACCCTGCATCAATTTATGGTTGAACTAGAGCATCGTTCAGACAGGGTTGAATAGATGGGCCTAAACCACATCATTAGAGCCACCCCCCCCACACCCCAAACTAAATGACGTGCAGATCCCATATCCAGTGGTAATGGTCACATCAGGTTATTTGTCAATTTTTATTTTACAATTCTGTGGGTCAGTTGACATATACCAGTGGGCTAATTTCTAATCAGTCATTGAACATTTTTAGAATATCACCGATACATGTCCATTGCTATGGTCTTTTTTTAGGCTACACAACCTACTTCTATTTATGGTATCCTGACTCTTATCAAGATTCTGTATCTGATGTATAAGAAAGGAAAGGAAAGGCAAGCAGCTGGAGTAAAACAGAAAGCCAAAAGCAAATCAGAAAATAAACTCTGATAAAAGCTCTCCTAGCAGAAGACACTAAAAATCTAAACCAACTTAAAAATCATTAAGCAAAAAAAAAATCAATATTTTATTGACTAGAAAACAGAGTTATATACTTGTGGTTAGTTATTATCCACATAGATTTTATACTATTGCAGTTTGGCACTGGCCTATTTTCATATAGTGTACTTATCTTTTTGTCTTCTTAATGTAATTATCACTTTCAATTAAATAAGGAATGAGATCTTAATGCAACTGAGGTAAAAGAAAAGACTCCAATTAACGGCAATAGACTTTGGATCAGCTCCTAAAAGGACACATGTGCTCCTGAAGTTAATATGAGTAAGATGTGCTTTAAAACACATCAGGAGTGTGGTAAATGGTACAAAACCTGCCCTCGAGTATTTCATTGCACCATTCTCAATGGCTCAGTATAATGGTAGTTTAATGACATGAAAGCGTGGAACAAAGGGAAGGAACATTTGTAACACTAATCTACTTGGCCTTTAATATAGACACTTTTACTTTAAAAGCTCAGCAAGCAGATTAAATCCTCTCAAAGTGACATAAATGAGATATAGGAACAAAACTACATTGTTCTGTTGGCCTATCGATTGTAATGAAAATATTATTAAAAACCATTGCTATAATGCTGGTAAATGTACATGGCTCTTAACAAAATGAGTAAGTCATGCTCCTTGTTCTAAAGCATTGACAGTCTTAATATAGACAAGGCAAACACATAAGATATTAGATCACAGTTCAAAGTGAGAGCAAGGAGAAACTATTTATGATGAGACAGATGGATGAATTTCTGGAAAATGGGTTTTCAGGAGAAGAGAGAGGTGGCTTGGCAGACAGGAAGGTGACTCTCAAGCCATGTTTACACTAGGAAAAGAGGTGTATGTTTAGTATGTACTAAAATCCTAGTGTAGACAAGGTGTAACCCACTCACGTACTGAGTGTGGTGTTCTGTCCCATCTAGTGGCACCAAGACCACTTAAAGAGAGAGATAAAATTAAGCAGCTCTACAGCCTTAGCTAAGGGCCATGTGGCTTTTAGCTCATGCGATAGAGGCTCATGCAATAAGCTCCAGAAGCCCCAGGTTTGATCCTGTCCACCAATGACCAGGATCTGACGGCATTAAAAAGGCAGTTGCAGTTTTAAGACATGTTAGCGTTTGGAAACTATACATTAGCGCTCTGATTGGGGGAGCTCATTGATTCCGATGGCAGATTAAAGTGTAGTTTTATTTATTTATATCCTGAAAAGATGACTTAGCAAAAAAAAAGTTTAACTAAAACTAGCTAATATTGGTAAAGGGGCTGTAGTTCAGCTCTGCAAATCACTAGTCTTGGAACAGATTTTTGTTTGTTTGTTTAAGAAGGGATATAAGGCTTGATGCTTCAGAGCATAAACCGAACACTCAGTGGTAGGCAGGACCAGATTTAGGGGCAGGCGACTGCCTGGGGTGCCCAGCGTTGGGGGTTGTTTTTGTTGTTAGCAACAAAAGGGAAAATAGAATGTTTGAAGTAAAATGTTTCAGATATTTCGTATGTGGATTCACTAACCTTCTAGACCGGGGTTGGCAACCTCCAGCACGTGGCTTGTCAGGGTAAGCACCCTGGCGGGCTGGGCCACTTTGTTTACCTGCCTCGTCTGCAGGTTCGGCCGATCGCGGCACTTTGCCTGGGGTGCCATTTGGTCTAGGGCATGCCCTGGTGGTAGGTATTAGTAAGAAACTACCAGGATGGGCAACATACACTAATTGTGCACTCTGGATTTTCTTGCATCTTCATCTGGAGCAGTTGGTGCTGGCCACTGTTGGAGATGGGATACTGGATTAGATGGGCCCATTGATCTGATACAGTCTGGCAATTCCTCTTTTCCTTAATCATAATGCATGAAAAAAATGTAAAGAAATCTTTTCCCCCCATGTTATTCAACTTATATGTAGTTCTTAGTAATGTGTCCTAATAGAGAAACAGAAATTTGTTGCTATTAGCGACTATGAAGTGGAAGTAATGAAAATGTCATTTACAGACACTTTTTCCAAAAACCATCTATGAATATGCACCTGAAATTTTGGACACACAATTAATTGCTTGGCTAAGCCCCACATTTTTGCAAACTGCTTAGTTAGCATTCATTATACTGAGAATCAGAAAATTGGAAAAAGTGAGTGGGTCATTGATTAAGCATAGAGCTGTGCAAAGGAATTCTGACTTACAACTTGGAGCAAAGATTATACAGCTTTTTAATTGCCCTATAGTGTATTCAGTGGTGTAAATTATGGAGGAAATGGCCTTCTGTCCCATCACCTGACCCTCCTGGCCATGGAGTGGACTCTTGACTCTCTCTGCTGGTGGGCATCTATTTCTCCTACTCCTTTCTGTCTTACAAGGCAGAGAAGTAGCACCCCCTCTGGAGTGGTAGAAGTCTTTCCTTTCTGTACAACAACCCCCTACCTTCCGCACATAGCGAAATGACTGCTTTGCCGGCAGCTTTCTTTGTCTGCCCAGCAGCCTTGAGGTACAAAGAGAAGGGGGGACATTGTTCAGATTAAATATTGTGGCCCAGCGGGGAATGCACCACCACTTTCCACCTGAGTGTCTGCATCAGTAGAGTACTGGTATAAGTTTTCTTCAATGAGGTCATCTATTATGTCTTCCAAATACAGATTTTTCATAGTCGTTCTTGGATTATATAATATAAAATTCTAAAGCTCCCAACAGCAGAGTGCACTGTTTTACAAGGACAAACATACTGTATTTCCATTAAAATATATATAGAAATTTCTTTGGAAATGTTTTCTTAACCAGAACTGTGTAAAAATCTTTTTACAAGATATAAGGCATGCATGTAGCAGCTGAGCACTGTGATAGAATTGAACTGCTGGTGGAAAGCAACTTGAATGACTAAATAACTCTTATGGCCTTTAAATGAATTTCTGACTGCAGGGTAAGGAAATACTTGGTTACAGCATGCGAGAATAACGTGTCTCTCTCTAACTATGCAGCCGAACCACATTCGCGACAGAGGATGTCATCTTGCTGGGTGAGGAATCCTTGTCCCACCAGCGAAATGGAACATTTCACACAATTAAAGCAGTCACTGTGCCACTGGCGCTCTTCAAATGAGATAAATTTGGCACCTCCAAGAGCTGAAAAAGAAATTAGAAAAAAGGGAATTCAATATATTTTAGAAGAGATCAGAAATAGATTGTTTTTGAATAGAGCATGTTGTCTTCGTTCACACTAAAATCTACTGGCATCCTACAGTTTGAAATAGCCTGTAGAAATAGATATGCCCAACATATGCATAGTAGGAACTAAAAATTAGAGATGGGGAAAACGTTTGCAACAAAGCCCCAAACTGTGAGACACCTGTTTTCATATCCCATTACGGTCTCTAAACATGGACCTGGCTCATCAAAACATCCACTAACCCTGCACCCAGTTTCCAGCAAACTGCCATAGAAATCAGAGGCAACATGTACAGGAGGCATGCAGGGTTTAGTGCCTGGGCCCAGTGGCCAAACGGCCGGCGGGAGGTGCAGTGGGAGAAGGACAGAGCCTCCCACCCCCCTCAGGTAATGTGGGCAGGGAGAGTGCAGTGGCCCCAGGCTTGGTGCAGGTCAAGGGAGGAGACATGTGGGGGTATTCACGTGTCCTCCCCTTTAGATTGTGCCCCCCAGTATGGGGAGGCATGAGTCGTCTATGATAGAAATCATGGGTAATGTGTGGGTTGTGTGGTTCCAGTGCAAAACCAAGTTTAATTCAGACATTTCAATTAAGTATCTCTGAGATTTAGGGATTTTCATAGTCCAGGACTCAAACTGAAAGTCACTAGATTTGAGTTATGTGAAACACAAGCTCCCAGAAAAAGTCTACCCTCGGGTATACTGGTGAATTGTGGAACTCTATAGGTTAACATGTTAATTAAGATTTTTTCTGTCTCAGAGATTCCTGAATCTGTTCCTGTCCCCCACCTTGTAATCTTATCACAGCAGACTGAATTTCCCCTCACTTTCCTTGATTTATTTATATGAGGATCAGACATCCGTCATTAGCTGACTCCATTACACTTCATCATTGGGCTAGAGGAGTAATAGATTCACTACTAATAGTCTCAACTAATGGTCTCAGAATAGTCAGTGTGTTAACCTGACATTGAATTATAAATGATTTAAGCACATAGGGCCAAATCATGATACAACTTTTCCATGAGTGGCAAGATCTCTTACTTTGATAAATGTGCCTTAGCTGCACAGAACAGTTAAATCTAATTAACCTACAACTGTACTAGTTTTATGTCTAAAAAAAACCTAATTACTAAAATAATGTATATGTTTGTGTGCCTACTAGAGGTAGGATACTATTAAGTGTCTCTTCATGTATCCTTAGGGACCTGAGGCACTCAACTTCACTTTGCAGCTTTTTCCACTCCAAGAATGTACAAGACATTTATATAAACCACAAGAGAAGCTCTTTTAGTACATAAAAATAATGTAATGCTTAGCTTGTACTGAATGACACGTGATTTACATGTTCCAACAAGGTATCTTGCATGTAATATGGAGGGGAGCTAGATTCTGTCTTCATTTACATCTGTGGCACTCCGTTTAGAAGTAATGAGGTTTAAATGGATGGGGTTGCATTTACTTAGCTAAGAACAGAATTTGGTTCATGGAGCTCACTTTCATATGGCTGTGAGCCTACAGACTGTCCCTTCAATGGGGTAAATTTTATAACAAAGAGCTTTATAGAGAGAATCAAATAGATTTTGTTTCTTCCTTTTGAGTGCATTGGAGGATAAATACAGGAGGACCCCTTTTGTGTCACAAGACACCATGGGACAGCTCTGCAGCTGATGTATATTGCCCTGGCTTCACTGAAATCGTCTTCCCATCACTGAAGTCAATGGAGCTATGACAATTTACACCAGCTGAGGATCTGCCCTAGTGTGTATATATGTAGGTACTTATATGGCCACTTCAGTACCTTACAAACATGAATGAATTTATCCTCACAACAAACCCTGTGAGGTGAGGGTTATTACTAACCTAATTTTGCAAATGGGCAGTTGAGGCCTAGAGAGAAGAAGTGGCTTACCCAATATCACACAGGAAGCCTGTCAGAACCAGGAACAGAATCAAAATCTTCCATGTCTCCCCAGTGCTTTAACCACAAGACCATCCTTTCCTCCCTATTTAGAAGAGGAGTAAGAAAAATGATAATCTCTACTGGTATGTCTACACTGCAAAGAACAACATGTGGCACTGAGTCTCAGAGCTCAGGTCAATTGACTTGGCTTGTGGGGCTCAAGCTGGAGGGTTAAAAATAGCAGTGTAGATGTACCCTTAGAGATTATCAGTTTCCTTACTCCTCCACTAGATAGGGAGGAAAGGATGGTCTGTGTAAATCCACCATTTACTGTAGTTGAAATGTTCAAGTGACCAGTAGCCCATGCTACAGAGGAAGGCAAAAAGCCCTCAGGGTCTTGCCTGAGCATTTCGGCAATAGCCACCAGCCAGGCACCTGGGAAAGAACTCTCTAGTAACTCAAAGCCTTCTCAATGTAGTGACCCATCACTGACCATTGGGGATATTTATTACTAGCAGTTTCTGATCAGCTATGTATCATTGTAGGCAGTCTCCTCATACTATCCCCTCCATAAGCTTATCAAGCTCAGTCTTGAGGCCGGTTAGGTTTTTTCCCCCACTGCCACCCTTGGAAGGCTGTTCCAGAACTTCACTCCTCTGGTGGTTAGAAACCCTCATCTAATTTCAAGCCTAAACTTGCTGATGGCCAGTTTATGTCCAGGTGTTCTTGTGTCAACATTGGTGCTTAACTTAAATAAATCCTCTTTCTCCCTGGTATTTAGCCCTCTGATATATGTAGAGAGAGCAATCATATCTCCAGTCAGCCTTCTTTTGGTTAGGCTAAACAAAACAAGCTCCTTGTGTCTCCTCTCATACGGTGGGTTTTCCATTTCTCTGATTATCCTAGTAGCCCTTTTCTGCTCCTGCATCAGTTTGAATTTATCATTCTTAAACATGAAAGATCAGAATAGTACACAGTATTCTAAATGAGATCTCACCAGTGCCTTGTCTAATGGTACTAACACTTCCCTGCCTCTACTGGAAATATCTCGCCTGATGCATCCGAGGATCGCATTAGTTTTTTTTCATGTCCGCATCACACTGATGGCTCAGTCATCCCATGATCAACCAGTACACCAAGGTCTTTCTCCTCCTCTGTCGCTTCCAACTGAGAAGTCCCCAGCTTATAGCAAAAATTCTTGTTAGTCGTTAAGTGCATGACCTTGCAGTTTGCACTATTAAATATCATCAAATTTCTATTACTCCAGTTTTCAAGGTCATCCACATCTTCTTGTATGATAGTCCAGTCCTCCTCCATATTGGCAATATCTCCCAACTTTGCGTCATCCACAAATTTTATTAGCACACTCCCATTTAAGATTGGTCCTAGATGGATCCCTGAGGAACACCACTAGTTTCCTCCCTCCAGCCTGACAGTTCAGCTTTCAGTATGACCCACTGTAGTCTCCCCTTTAACCTGTTCCTTATCCAGTTTTCAGTTGGTTTAATCCTCATCTTGTCCAATTTAACTAATAATTTCCCATGTGGCACTGTATCGAATGCCTTACTGAAATCCTTGTAGAATAAATCTACTGCATGTCCTTTGTCTAAAAAAATCAGTTATCAGTGGGTCTCTCTACTCTGCAATGTAAGCCCGGGGTTTGAACTCAGGCTCAAGCCTAAACCCCCTTCTGTCCACACACAAATCACACTAAATCAGGGTTTAGACCCAGGATCCCAGGACCTCGACCCAGGACCTCATGGGGGCAGAGGGCCTGAGTCAAGCTGGGACCCAGGGTTCACACCCTACTGCTTTGCAGGGTAGCCCTGCTGGACTTGTGTTCTGTGAGTCCACCAAAAGTATTCCACAATCCCACAGGCCAAATTTCTTTGTCCTCTAAACAGTAAATTTTGGTGGACAGTCAAGTTTTCATACACTGCACCATGAATAGAGCAGCCATATTTTGGAAGAGCGCTAGGAAGTCTGGGATATGGTGGTTGGGCTCAGGCCCGTATGATGCCATGTAGAAACTGGAGCCCCAGATTGGGACTCAGGGTTCAACAATTCCTAATCTAGGTTAACCTCAAACCCTAGGTTAACAAACCGAGGGGCTCATAACACAAGTTCTACTAACAGTGTAGTCACACCGAAGAAGTGTTTTTTAAGCAAACTGATCATTAAAATTCACAATAAGTGCAATTATTTAATTACAAGTGGAATATTTTATGTTAATAGACATCTGACCTGAGACAGCACTGATAACGTTTTAGTGGCTGGTCTACTTTAAACGGTTAGACTCACCAGTAATGGGTTTGTTGCAGGCTGCACACTTCTTTGCATAAAGCTTTCTGAAGCAGTCTAGGCAGTATGGATGGTCATCTTTGGAAATAAACTTCTGCCCAGACAGCTGCTTCTTACATCCAACACACAGAAAGCATTCTTTGTGCCATGGCTGGTCGTGGTATGTCACTCCACCAGTAGTTATCATCTGATGCAGCAACAAAAAGCAAATAAACAAAGGAATGAAAGCATGAACAACAATCTATAGCAATCAGCTGCAACACCAAAATGCGTCATTATTTCCAAAATTCAGATAACATTTGAGCTCTAGTCTAAACTAGGAATTCCCAAGGTATGTGGTATTTTTAAATAAATCCTCTTATTTCTTTTCTCTCTGCCATATATAGAGAGTCTCAATTGTTTTCAGTTTGGTTTTTAATCTTGACTGGGCCGGATTGATATGAACATGCAGCTGCATAAGTTATTCATGTTGGTTCCATGGCAGGTACTCATATGGGCTCCAATTGCAGTAGTATCTGTGCACCTCTCCATTTCTAGTGCATTTATTATCACAACACCGTGTGAGGTAGGAGAGAGCTGTTATCCCCATTTTACACAGACACTAAGTGACTTTGTCCAAGGCCACACAAGAAATCTGTGAAACAGTGGCAATAGAATCCAGGTTTTCCAACTCCCAGGCTAGTACCATGACCACTGGACCATCCCTTTTCTATTTAGAGTATAAACTCTTCGGGGCAGGGAATATCTCCAAAGCATGGGTGGTGGATATAGTAGGCCAGGGGAGGCTAAGCCTTCCCAAACAGCCAGGCTGTGGCCCCGCCTATGCTCCGCCCCGAGGCCCCGCTCCCATGTTCCACTCTTCCCGTGGCCCTGCCCATGCTGCTCCTCTTCCTGCCCTTGCTCAGCCTCCCCCCTGAAGCCAGTGAGAGCTAGGGTGGGCGAGCTGGCGGGTGGGCTAGTGCTTGGGGCGGGTCAGTGGGGGTGGACCGGCCAGCAGCCCGGGGCAGCTGGGCGGGCTCAGGGTAGCTGGGGCCAGCCGGCTGGTGGGCCGGTGCTGGGGCCAGCTGGGGTGGGCCACCCAGTGGCCCTGGGAGGGCAGGCAGGCCAGATCTTGGGCTGGCCGGTGGACCAGGGCGGGTTGGCTGGTGGCCTGGGGTGGGCGGTAGATTGAGACTCAGGGCGGCTGGGGCAGGGCTCCTCCAGCCATGGTGGGGGGCTTGGATATCCATCAGGGAGGAGGGGAGTAAGGGATGGGGCCGGGGGGTAGCCTCCCTGAATGTGTGTGTGGGGGGGGTTCACGGACCTCCCATGTCTCTAGGAGTATTTCTAAACTGCAGCTGGGAAGGGTGATGCCCAGCACAGGTAGACAGACTTGCATTACCTCTGTTCAAGCTAGGTTGCTAAAAGATAGCACTGTGGAAACTGTGGCATGGGTGCAGCTTGTGCTATTTGCCCAAGTCCAAGCCTGTCTAAGCGCCTGTGGCTAGACTGAACCACTACCTGTGCTCCAAAGTCCTCACTACTATTTGTAGCACACTAGCTCAAGCGGAGCTAGTGCAAGTCTATCTACATTGGCTGGGAATCAAACCTCTTAGATGCAGTGCAGACATACCCTAACTTGGGTTTGCATGGTACTTAAACAATGGGGCTATTTCTTGATTGGGAGCTCTAGGTGCTACTGTAACACCAATAATTAACAGCAGCAGAAGCAATGAGGACCCTAGGTTTGGATGGTATGAGAATTCTGTTCATTACAGGTTCATTTTCAACTCCTCAGCAGCTCTTAAGTAACTTTTAAAACATTTTCAAAAATATTTTCTATTGACTAAGTAAGAAGTAGGCAGAATAAGTAAACATTATAGTAAAACATTCTTACACTCTTTAGCAGAGCAAAGCACACAGTGTGAACTTACATTCTGCTACACCAGTTGTCTTCCTATGCTCTGATATGAAACTATCAACTTTATCTTTGTATTTAGATTAACTCCCTTGGTGCCATCCTGTGAAAAGGTCACTTGTATGCCGTGTGGCTGTGCTCTGCACTTCCTGCTGTTTCATGTAGGTTCAGATTGAAAACCTCTAGGTGTGTATAATGTATGGCATTTACAGAGGTTATTTTAACCTTGTAGTTTCTGTATTCAAACTCTGCCTATAGTGTCCTATTGTGCATATTTTTTTTAAATTGGGCTACCTTGTTCAGAATTGCATTAAAAAGAGTGTAGTAGCACTTACAGTGTTCTAGCTCTTCCCTTTGGTTATGTTTGGTTAATTACCTTCTTGCAGGAGTAGCAGTGGTGAGCAAACTGCTTCTCAAAACATGGCACACAATAATTCTCATTGTCTTTGGTAATCAAAGGCTTTGTTCCTAATGGTTGCCGGCAGTATTGACAAACAAAACAGGCTTCATGCCAGCAACTTCCTTTAAATTCCATTTTACGAGAACCTGAAAAACAAAACACGAATGTGAGTCCCACTGAAGTTAAGTGATCATCTTGCAGAAGGACAGCTCCTCCCACCCAGCCCCCATCCACCTGAATTTGCATAAACTGAGATTTTAGAATTTTTTCTAGTATCAAAATATTTTAGGACAGGTTCTTCTGTGACACACTGTATTAATTCCCAAAAGTGTTTCTCTTGTCAGTCATCCCAGTGCCCTTCTATCCTGTGCTCAAGCAGCACACTGGATTGAGCACTTCACTTTCACAAACTGGGGATTAATTTGCTTAGATATTTTAGCATGCCCATGAATTTCTCCTACTCTTGAGGTCTTTTCACTTACACAAATTTCCTCCAACTTTCTTATGTCAGGTCAAACTCCTTTACTAATGAATACAAGTCATGCATAAGTAATCTCATTCAAACCAGGCTGGCATTCGTTTCTCTTCAAATTAATTTTAATTTCTTTGGCACGATGCAGAAAATGACAGTCTCTTAGTGTTGCTGATCATTTTCACCACAGATCACTACTACTTTTTTCCACCCTATACAGATTGTCAAAGGTCCAGGACATGATGGTCTGGTACATCTCAGGTTTCAGAGTAGCAGCCGTGTTAGTCTGTATCCGTAAAAAGAACAGGAGGACTTGTGGCACCTTAGAGACTAACAAATTTATTAGAGCATAAGCTTTCGTGGACTACAGCCCACTTCTTCCGAAGATG